CCCCCGTGCGGCCCCCTCCTCAGACATGGCCGGGGGGGGGGTTCCCCGGGCCGGGCCTGCGGGTCTCTGCGGGCCGCTGCCCTCCGGGCTCGCCGGGGTGGCCTGGAGGGGGAGGCGAGCCCCCGGCCCCGAAGGGGCTGGAGCAGCGCTGCTCCTTGCGCTTCAGCTGCTCGCCCGGCTCCTGATGCGCTGCTGCGGCCTGGGAGCGAGGAGAGTCGCTCGCTCTCGTCCGTCCTGGGGCTTCAGGAGCACCTGAGAAAGCCTGGGAGCTGGGAAGGAGGGATCCTCGTTTGTCGGCCCGAGGCACCTGCCGAGGGGGTGAGACTCGTTTCAGGCAGGTGGCATTACAGGAGGAGTCCCTGGGCTTGCTTGATCAAAGGCGGAAGGCTCAGGCGTGGGCACCGCGTGCGGTCAGGTGTTGGTCTTCGACGGCACGTGCTCCGCTGCCGGGATGACCGCTGCGGCGTTACCGGTGGCGCGCACGTGGTGAGGTTGTGAGTAAGCCTGAACTGAAGGGTTAGAGATGCGGCTGAGGTTTTGGCTGTCTGAGTTATACCTATGGAATCTTTTAAAATTACATGCTCCCAAACAGGAAGGTTTTGATTTCCTGTCAATGTTTGGCGCGTGGCAGAATGACAAGAGTTGAAGATCACCCCTGCCTCCTGCTCTTCCGTTACAAACTGGCTAGAAAGAAGAGAGCTAGAATGAAAAATGACAGAAAAGGGGTTGATATGAAAAGGCTTTCAGATACTTAGAGGGGCTTTAACCATAATGAAAGCATGGGGCCGTTTCTAGGCAGCCTTGCAGAGCCATCAGACAAGCAAGGATGAGTCTGGCCAAGCGTCAGTAGCAGAAAAGTAGACCTGAACACTATCTGTGGTGGCCGTTAAGTGTGCTTTTGTTACCTGTACATTAAGACTGCTGCCTGTAGAGAATATCAAGGGAGAAGGGGCAGGACTTAAAATTTCATACCCTGTAAAAGAGAGGAAGACTAGAATGTTCTGAAAGGTGTGCCAGAATTATAGGGTAGGAGATCCCCAAATCTTTCTCCCTAATCTTACCCAGTGACCAAGTTTCAGGAACTAAGGGAGTTGGTGCTAACATCAAGTACTGCAGAGCTCAAGAAGGATGAGACCCTGTCTGTTGTGTCCGAATGTGATTGTTGCTGCTGTCCATCTGCAGCTCTAACAGTATAGCTACAGATTTTGCTGTCATGTCAGATGTCCCTGTAGAGTTACTGTTTCATATGAATAGCTGTTAATTTTGCAGTTTGTGGGGTTTTGTAATGCTGATGTAAACTGAGTGCATGTGTGACAGTAAGAATCCTTTGTTTGGCTGTTTTAACGTAAATAATATTCTCTCATTATCAGCCATCAAAAATACAGAGCTATTCTGAAGAAAGAAAAGCGAAAAAAAAAGCGGCAAGCACTTGCCAAACTAAGAGACTCAGGTAACTGTGAAGTGTTTTGTATTGTCAGTGGAAATAGTGGTGATTTTTTTTTCCTTTTTTTTCCCTTCCATTTTTTAAAAGGATATAATTTTGTGTATCTTTGCTGACTATAACACCCAGTTATTTAGATGCATTGTTTTGTGTTTCTCCTCAGAAGCTACAGAAAAAGATGAATCAGTGTCTGAGGAGGAAGAGGAAGAACTGGAAGAAGAGGAGGAAGAGGAAGAAGAAGAAAAAAAACTTGAGGCAGAAAGGTGAAAAATCTATAAAATAGCATATATGCAGTAGATAAATTTGTAGTCAATTCCATTTTGATACTTTGAAAAGTTTCTGTAAAACAGAATCCTTTTTGTATATTTCAGGCTACACAGTTTTTCTCTAAAGCCTGAATGATTCCTGTGGAATTTTCTCTTTTAAAGAAGATTAGATAAGCTGTGGTTATTGCTGAACTAATAAATTTGGATTGTATGCATGACAATTGCATCAGTTGTGGGGAGTCATTAAATTTTGTCTTAAGTGGTATCTGGTTTCCTTGGTAGACAAAAACTACATGAGCAGTGGTTGCTGAGAGAAGAAAAGGCCCAAGAAGAGTTCAAGCTTAAGAAAGAAAAAGAAGAGGCTGCAAGAAAACGTCAAGAAGAAGAAGAGGTGATGTATAAACCGAGTGTTACACTTGTGTCTGGCAATAAGGTAGACTTGGTGTAATGTCTCTTACTGTTCTGTAGTGGACCAGTTTTCTTGACGTTGGTATGTTTGAAAGCATGAGGTCTTCTTTCTTACATTCTAGAAAAGCAAAATTAAAAAGGAGAGGGAAAAAAAGACTCTTTAAAAGGGTTTTTGTCCAGAGATGTAGTTGCTTATGACTGGATGAAAACTTAATGGTCAAGGAGTTGTAATGCAACATGATAGTTTTGAATGTGACTGATTATAAAGCGTTTGTTTCCTCAAATAATCTTTAAAAATATTTTTTTTATCATAAAGAGGAAGATCAAAGAAGAATGGGAGGAGCAGCAAAGAAAAGAGAGAGAAGCGGCACAGCAGAAGCAACAGGAGAAGAGAGAGAGAGAGGTGATTCCTGGCAGTGGGAGGATAAACATGTTACATATCCTCTTACGTTATCAGATGCAACAGTCTATGCATGTTGAAGAGAGATTTTATTCTAATTAGCAAACGTATAAATGCATTAGTTAGTTCTTCTCTCCATTCTGTCTAACTTCCTGAAACTATCAGTCACTGTTAAAGAGGATCTAGTGAATCCATATGCCTAGGAGGGTGACTAGTTTTAACGCATCTGGTTGTTCGTAGTATGTAATATTTACATCAGTTAAATACAAAGGCATGCTGTGAATGCAGGTTCTGATATGTGCACTTTTTGCATCATCCGTTAAAGATAATCCTTACTTAATGTCCCAGTTGAACACAGTCAGCGTTGAAGAAAATGACCAAGGAGGATACGGAATATGGAATTCCCTTGCTGCTGTTCCTTAACACAGTTCTTAATCAAAAGATATATTACAGCTCTTCTTTACCTGACTCATCCAACAGGACGTATCTTTTTTTCAGAGCTCCTTGGGTGGAGAAAAAAATGATACTGAAGATACTAGTCATTGATAACATTTCTGTTTAACAATACATTCTTAAGTTTTAGAGGTTGAGTGACCTGGATGTACGATGTTCTGTACAGAAGTCCAATGTGAGGACTGGCCTATTGCCAGTAAAGGGTGATGGCAGCTGTTGTGGTTTAACCCCAGCCGGCAACTCAGCCTCACGCAGCCGCTCACTCACATCCCTCACGGTGGGATGGGGGAGAGAATCGGAAGGGTAAAAGTGAGAAAAACTGTCTTTACTTCAGCCCACAAGTTAATAGGCAAAAAAAAAAGCCACGTGCACAAGCAAAGCAAAACAAGGAATTAATCCACTGCTTCCCATCGGCAGGCAGGGGTTCAGCCATCTCCAGGAAAGCAGGGCCCCATCATGCATAATGGTGACTTGGGAAGACAGACACCATCACTCCAAACATCCATCCCTTCCTTCTTCCCCCAGCTTTACACGCTGATCATGACGTCCTATGGTCTGGAATATCCCTCTGGTCAGTCAGGGTCAGCTGTCCCAGCTGTGTCCCCTCCCAAATTCTTGTGCCCCCCAGTCTCCTCGCTGGTGGGGTGGGGTGAGGAGCAGAACAGCCCTTGGCTCTGGGTAAGCACTGCTCAGCAGTGACGAAAACATCCCTGTGTTATCAACACTGTTTTCAGCACAAATCCAAAACACAGCCCCATACCAGCCACTATGAAGAAAATTAACTCTATCCCAGCCAAAACAAGCACAGCAGCCTTCTAGGATATAATAAATAAACCCATTTTAGCTTCTCCACAATTGCAAGAGTCCAGTCATGTCACTGGGAGGTGTTCTGCTACTGTGTCTGGTAGCCACAGCAGCAGAAGAGATGTGGGCAAACATTATTGTCACCTGCATTTAATAGTTGGTTGTGTCACCGATTGCGTAACACTTGCATGAGGAATGGAGAAGAACAGCAGTTGTTTTATTTCCTGTCTTACTTCCTCTGTGTTAATTGTCCATTTCCGTTTTTGCAGAGTAGGGAGAGAAAATGATGGTTGTGTCCTTTATTTCAGGTTGAGATATAGTTCCAAGAGAGTTGAACCATGGTAACAGCGGGATTTTGTTCCTTCCCTCTCCTTGTGCCTGGGTTTGCCCAAACCCTCAGTGGGCTAATTTGGTTCCCTGAACCAGATGGAAGCTGCTTTCTTTTTTGTTTGATTGTTGTTTGTCGTGTTTTGTTTTTTTCTGTGTTACTGTTTCACTGGTTTAGTGAGTTAAATTGGCTCATAGAGGGCATTGACAGGCACCCAGAGGGAATGCGAGTACCCAGCTGGGAGTGGAGCCACCCATTTCAGCAGTGGGAAGTTGTTCAGTTGATTTGGCCTGTCTGTTGAAACAGCAGTTTATTCAAATTCTGACTTACTGATTTAAAAAAAGAAGTTGGGGTTTTTTTTTCCCCTTCCTAAGATGAGAAAATAGATTTTTCTGGTTTGGTGGGGTTTTGCTGGGTGGTTTTTTGTTTGTTTGGTTTGTTTTGTTTTTCTTTAATAGGGTGGATAATATCTGACATACTTGATGATTTGTACCAGATGCTGTCTGGGTCCTCCTCTTGGATTGCATTTTTTAATTGTTATTTGCTCTTCCTCCTTTTTAATTTCATTAATTCTCTTCCAAATTAGAACAATGCTAGCATACTTTCTTGTATTGGTTATGTTTAAATGTCTTTTTTATTGGAACTTCCGGGAATAATTTGTTGGAACTAATTTCCAGCCAGTTTTGGGGAGTGATTTTATTTTTTTGCTCAGCCCACTTAGAAGGAAGGGGAATAATATCCTCATTGTTTTCCTGTATTTGGAAGGCTAGATACAGTGAACTTACAATATTAAAGTTTCTTAACAGTTATATGTTTTGCTTTAACAGAGGCTCACTAAGCAATGTGTTTTTCTATGTGTTACATAGAATGTTCTAAGTTTAAAAAGTTTAGTGCAACTAAGTGATTATGAACTTAACTGTAACCAGACTGAGTACTAGAGCAGGAGATATATTTAAATATTCAGTAATTGAATGATAGTTTTAAAAAAGAATAAAATGAAACTTTTAAACTTGTCTAGCATTTAGATTAGAAAATCATCTACGTGAGGGTCTTGTCTGATGTATCCTTTAACAGCTTTGTAGTGCAGAGCAAAATTAAAACTTCGTTTTTAAAGCAAACCCCATCAAACTTTTATTATGCATAATCATTGAGTATTGTAAATTAGGTTCTTAACTAAAGAAACCAGATGTTTTGCGTGTCCTCAGGGTTTTCACTAGTCCTGTGTTTGCACCATTTATAGGCAGCTGTGCAGAGGATGCTGGATCAAGCTGAAAGCCAGGTATGCTCAGAGACTTTGAAAAAGAACTGAAAAGTAATTTAATTGCCATCCAGTGTTTGCCTTCTAGCATGTTGTCCATCTGCTCTCAAGAACCTAATGGCTTGAATAAATTTAATATGTAGTGGCTTGCATGAGCTGTAAACAATTATTTACTGGGTGGAACATAATTAAGTGTATTTCTGGCTGGTTGGTGGCGGTGCAGTTGTGCGTGCTCATTCCTGTTCAGGAGGTCTGAGTCAAAATGAATCTGGAAATACTGCTGTGTGCTGTTATAAAAATACTATGCATGATAGTTTATTTGTGAATTAGAATTCTAAATAGATCTGTCAGTCCTTCTGGGTGGCAAGGCAAAATTGTCTTTTTAAGCAGATGGCAGGCTCTAAATAAAAGGATTCAGCAGTAGAGGAGGGCACAGATCCTTAAGAAAAAAAAAGTGGGGGTGGGAGAAGCTGACTGCTTGGGTGCCTGGAAGAGCATGGATCTCAAGCTGGCAGTGTGTAGTAAAGAAAACCGCAGTTTTCATTTGAATCTTGGAGAGGATGAATTCAGTCTTTCCTGTTGCCTTAAGGAACAATTTGGCTTTTTATCCCTGTCCTATGGTTAAACTTGTAAAGATTCTTGATCTCCTTAAACCACTGCATGAATCTGAAAATTAAGTTTTAACCCAGTTAACCCCTTGTATATTGATTGCCATAGCCACGCTGGAGCTGCATTCAGTTCCAAATTATGTTTAAACATCAGTTCTTCAGGTAGAGAATCTAACTCTATTTCATAATACACCCAGAAAAATGCTCTGAACTACTACCTGCCCAGAGCTCAAGATGTATTAGCAGCCAGTTCTGCAAAGGAACAGGCAGAAGTGTGCTATGTTAGAGACTTCATTATAGTATCAGCTCAGTGTTCAGTTACTGTTGAAGTGACAGTGCTGTTCTGTTGAAAGAAAATTACGACTAAGAGTCATGAACAGAACTGGTAGCAGGGTTAAATGCTGCTTGTAAATAAACAGAGTTTTCGGTTGATTTAAAATGAGAACTTAGGCTAGTCAGCTTTACAGATCTTTTGGTTAACATTTTTAAAATGTCTGGTTTGTTTGTTGTCAGTCAAGGCTTGCAACTTGATAATACATTTTGAATTACAGAAATCTTAATGGCCTGAGATGATCAGTATGGAGGCTTTTACTTCCAGTGCTAACTACGAATTTAATTTTTTTTTTTTATGGCTGGCCTTTGGCAGGTTGCTTTTATTTTAGCCTTTTCTAGCCACATAAAAAGCGATAATGATAACCTTATTGAGCCTTGAGCTGCTGCAGACACAAATATGTAAATAGTCCGAGCTTTCTATCTGCCAGGTATATGAAGTGCTGCTCAGTGGGTCCTGGAGTGAAGTAGGTAACAAGCTTAGCTGAATGGAAAGAACCTGTCCCAATGTTTGTAATTCTTGTGGATAACAAATGAAATTGCTGTTTGAGGAGCAAATATGTTGCAATTCTTTTGGTGATAACATCTTAAGAAGCTTTTCCTTTAGCAAAAGAAAACATCCAGTTTAGTGATTATTTTTTTGTTGTTGTTAAAAAGAAATCATGAATACATATTTGTTCTTAAAACTGAACAATTGTCAAGAAAAGAGGTTTCCATCACCAGAGACCCAAGGCACTGGGCAGCTTTGTAAAACAATGCTTAAAATAGGTTCAGCTTGCCTTGTCGTAACACGCTGCTCAGAATTGCATATGGATTTAATTGGTAGTTTTATTTTGCCATTACATTTCTTTATTCTTTTCTAACTGCTGTGTATTTTAATGGTTTTTTTTCCACAGCTAGAGAATGGTGTGACCTGGCATAACCCAGAGCCCCCAGAGAATATAGGAACAGAGAAGGACAGAGCGAACTGCCCATTCTATATTAAAACAGGTTCCTGCCGATTTGGAGACAGGTAATCAATTGAATATTTACCAGCATACAAGTGTTTTGGAGAGATGAAAGGGAAGCAACTTCATTAGGTAATAAGCAAACTGAAGAAAAATTGCTATATAAATTACTTTCAGGTATTTGGATGTGGTTCTGTTATTCGTGATGGAACTAGCATTGAGAGCAAAAGCATTGCCTGGCTGGAATTGAACTATTTATTGTTACGGCATATTATTGATGGTGCATTCTGGTTACATTCGTCAGACTGACTTTTCTGTAGCTCTGACACATGCACAGATATATTCAGACAGAATATATTTGATTTCTATTATTAGTACAGGTTTGATATGTCAGAAGTTGTTTTATCCTGTGTAATTTGCATATGCCACATCATCTAAAAATACAATCAAATCTCAAATGGACTAAAGCAAGTTAAGATACATCTGCACAGTTGGAAAAGCTGTTGTGTAGCTTCCAGAATTCTCCTGTTTGTATACTTTTTAAATGTGTGAGATACATACATTCATTCTTGATTCTTGTATACTGTTACGGGTGCCCTATCTCGAAAGGGAAGTATGGTAAAAGGCAAGAACAGAGAAGGACAAGATGATCAGAGATGAGGAACAGCTTCTGTAGGAGGAGTGCCTCACTAGCCTAGACTCTACTTACAAAGAGATGATGAAGAGGGCTGTGGCAGATGAACACTGAGCTCATGAGTAGGATGGGAAGGATTATTTGCTTTTATTATGAAGCAGCTTAATTAACGTCCCTGAGTGTTTACCAGCTTTAAAAAAATAAGAAAGTACTTTCTCATATGAGAAAAATGGCAAAACTTGTTGCCAGAGGACATAGAGGAAGCCAAAAGTATAAATGGATTCATGGAGTATGGGGGTCATTATCTTTAATGGTCACCGATGAACAAGTGCAGCATCTGGCTAGAAAATACCTGAATTTTTGTGCGCATTAAGGACGAACAACAGCTCAGCAGGGAAAGACTCTGATACTTATTATCTGAATCTTCAGCATAAACTAATAAGGCTATTTTACTAACTTGTATCACTGAAACGTGTGTGGTCCAGCTATTGTAGTTTTCTTTATCCTAGAAGCAATTTGGTTTAGTGTGATGTATCTTCTGGATAATTATGTGATAATTTAACTCCATGGAAGCTTCAAGTCCACATCTTTTTTTCTGTTCTGAAATATGTGTTGAATTCCTAAATAAAACTTTGGCCAGCTATTTCACTGTAGACAGCATTTTTGCTTTTCAAATGTTTAGCTCTTTGTAATCTTTGCAGGTTTTTTGTTTCAGTGGTATTTAATGGAGGTGTTTAATGGATTAATTATGGACTGCATAAAAATCAGTTTTGCTTTGAATTATCAATAGCTGTGGTAAATAAATACTGAGAAACATCATATTCTGCCCTTCTTTTCTCACCTGTAGTTGTTGATCTCACCTACCTCTCTTTTTATCTTCCTTCCTCCTCCTCACATACCGGCTTCCTTCATATTTTGGTCATTTTAACCTCTGGTGTTGACCGTTAAGTTGAAGGACTGAGGTACAACTAGGATAAGGACTGGAAGAATGGGTTGGAAGCTGAAATGGACAGCAGTGGTGAAAAATTGGGAGCCAATGTTATCAATAAAATAATTGTTGAATCTTGTCAAAGCTCACTATGTCCTGAAGAAGCTAAAACTGGCCGAGTTCACCGTTACTAATTTCCCCAGTAATTCAAACACTAATATTTTGTAGTAATACTGGATTTTGGGTCATTCATTTTCCTTGGGGTTCCTTTTGTTCTGCTATATTCATTTTGTGTACAGACAATACTGCTTGGGTATAATATTTTGATTTCTATCATTCAAATAGAATAGTGAAAGGAGGCAGCTTCAAAAAGGGGGGGGGGGGGGGAAGTCTCTGGTTTTAGTTTTGTGTTTGGAATTTTGTTTGTTGGTGGTTGTTTTCTGAAGTCCTAAGTTGTCAACCAGAAAGTGAGAGTCAATTTCTGACTGACTGGATGTGGAAAGAAACTTCCTATCTGAAGTCTAAGTGGTAATTGCCCATTTTGAGCCCTGACCCCCCTCCAATTTGTCTGTGCTTTGCCAGTGCTAGATAAAGAGAGTAGACTAGTCTGACTGTTCTTCTGATCATGTCATGAAAAGGAGAAATGTGTTGGAGAGTGCATGACCCAGTTGCTCGGGGAAGTGTTTGAAATGGAGATCATAAAGCACAGTGAAATAAACATGGAGGCTAACATCTATGTTCTTACTGAATCTAAAGGTTTGTAGGGAAGAACTGTATTCCAGCATGTGAAGGAGGTAGCCTGAATATGATACATGGTGCAGGAGCTCTAATACTTTTATGGCTGTCAAGAAGACGCAGATTAAGATAAGACTTACTTAGATGAATCATTTTTTTTATAAGTGGAAAAATACTACTCTTGTACTCGTCCGACTTCAGGTCTAAGCGTGCCTTCCTTCCCTCACTCCCTCTGCCCACCCCCCATATGATGAGGACAACTTCAATAAAAGTTTAGTTTGCAAAAAGAAGAGCCAGGACTTGCTTTAAAACATCTTAAAAGATTGTCAGTAGTCTTTCTATAAAGCCCTTCAGAAATTTAACACATTTAACCCTAGTAGCCTAAAAGAAATTACTTTTAGCTCTTATTATGTTACTGGTATCTATAGCTTTTGCAGATGTGCTTTTTTTTAAAGCAAGAACGTGTTTACGCATGGCAGAAAGCATTAAGGTTATACACAAACTCACTTCCAAAAGGTTTGTTTTAATAATTGAAATATGTTGATCTTCCACTAAAGGATTTTCTTTTGTAATAACTGTTACTCAAAATGGCAAGTGTTTGAAGTTCCGACGAGTGCATCTTCTGCTGAAAGTTCTGATCTGTTACTTTTCTTGCTTTACTACAAATGTCCAGGTGTTCTCGCAAGCATAACTATCCAACCTCTAGTAAGACACTACTCGTCCGAGGGATGTTCATCACTTTTGGCATGGAGCAGTGCCGGAGAGATGACTATGACACAGACGCAAGTCTCGAGTACAGTGACGAGGAGACCTACCAGCAGTTCCTGGAGTTCTATGAGGATGTGCTCCCTGAGTTTCAGAACGTGGGGAAGGTTGTTCAATTCAAGGTATGCATCTGACTGTAACAGCTTGTTAAATACTTAACATGTACGACGTAAATTGTGTTTTACTGGCCTTAACAGGAATTCTGTCCAGCATGCACTAGGTAAATTCCATGTACATTAGAGAACTATACAGTGTCCTTACAGCAAACTGCGCATGTCTCATGTCACCTGTAGACTTGTCACTGCTGTTACAGAGCATTTTCTTACTCTGGGTCAATCTTCTCTCCTGTTCCCCTGAACTGTTATAAAAGCTTGTGCTTTTATATCGCAAGTTACTCATACTGCTCAACAGTCCACTTAACCTCACAGTCCCTTCTTTACTGAGCCCGTGATAAGACCCAGAGGGTCCACTAAGTCTGTTTGACAATATAAATATATCTGGGCTATTGTATTTGTGCCTAAGGAATGACATAGTGGGGGTATACAATGTATTTGGAGTATACACCCAAAGAATGTCATTTTAGGACTGGTTGGATAAAACAGAATCAAATTACAATGAACTGAAAAGGTAGTAGATATTTCAGTAGAAGGAATTGTAAAAAGGTAAGTTATGTAAATGGTGTTGAGATTTGTCGTCCATCTTTAGTTTGTGCATTTGGTTTGCTGAATGTTCTGTACTGAATTTTTCTCATTTAGATCATGATTTCTTAGGAGGCAAAAAAGAGGGACCTGTAAATGGAGATTTCAGAGATGAATGATGTGTGTTTACAGTCCCATCTTGCCCCCAAATGTGCAGCTTGGATGGTGAAATCTCCGTGTAGCAGAATCTACTGCAGCATCCCTTTCTGCTTCTGTTCCCAATTGTTCTCGTGCAGTCACCAGGAGGCACACAGTGCCTTTTCTCCTTTTGTTTCTTTCCATCTACTGACAGCTGCCTCAGAACTGAGATTGTATTAGTGTTTCAAGCAAGAGGAAAGTAGAAAAAGTGAATTTTCAATAGTTGTATAATGAGCTTTAGAGGTAAGAAACCTTCACTTGTTTGGAGGAGTATCCCCCCCATATTTTGACACATGGGATATTAGCAAGCTGTACTCCATCCTAGAAGAGGGGATATAGATTCCCAGTGGAGCGTAGGTTGAAATGCTGTCTTATCATCAAACTTAGATCCTCGACTTTGTATCGGTGTCATATGCAGCTGTGCTAAGTTGCACATACTTGGGTCCCTATGACTAATAACAGGGTAAGAGCTTTTAGTGTGGCATTTCTTAGCTTCTGAAGCAATTGTGCAACTGCAATATGATTCTTGTGGTCATTTTCATTATATTGGATATGCTTAGAAATTATGTGTTGGCTGCAGGGATCTTGATGGAGCTTTGTCTCTGCTACCATTTAGAATGAGATTATACACACCCCTCTTCCAGCTGACTTCCATTTCCAACGTAGCCCAAGGTTTCATTCTTGCTGTTCTTTCTGTGAAGCTACTCCAGAATCTGGCAGATCCTGACAAAACACACACTTCTTTTCCCACTCAGAAACGTCCGTGGCAAAATCATTCTCGCTTGTTCTGATCTTGATAGTTTGACCGTTTACTCTGTAATATTTAATTACACAACTGCTTGTTGTGCCTGAAGCTCTTGCCTAATGCAGTGCACACAGAGAGGTTATTCTCTGAGGGTCAGTCGGGGTGCAGTGATGAAAGAAGCCGTTTGCCTCGTTTGGTGCCGATATGGGAAGAGGCCTGGGGGCAAAAGAGACTGGGCTTACGGTTCTGCCCTGGAGAGCTGGGTTCTAGCCTGCTTGGGCCTGCCCATCTCAGGATCTTTTGTAATGAGCAACGAGCTTTTTGGAAGTTAAATTGTGTATTTTTGAGAGCTTTAGATATACTTTGAATGCTGAATCAATATGAAAAAAAGGTGTTTCAGAACTGTACAGTGAAAGCTAGTGACTTCAGCTTTTCTAACTCATCTCGCAAGGATACTGCGAACGTAAATTGCTCTAAAGATACTCCTACCGTAATGAATCCCTCGTTTCCACATGAGGATACTACTGCTTGTTTTCAGAGCAGGATTTGGCTGTTGCACAGTAGGGTTTGCCCAGACAGGTGCAAGACAATTGAGTACAAGCTGTCTTGCGGTCTTAAGTGAAGCGGAAGTCCCAGAGTTAATCAAAGCATAATGCTGGAAACAGTCAAACATAAGCCAAAAGGGCTGGTTTGGTTTGTTGGTTTTTTGGTTTTTTTTTTCTCTTAAACTAAGTGCTCAGAAAAAAATCATACGTAAGTTCATATAGATGAGCTGTCATAAATTGCAATGGCTGCTATCTCAGCACGCATGAGCTGCTGTACAGCATAAACCTTCCGTTGCGCTAATTTAATGTTTCCGTCCCCTTAGGTCAGTTGCAACTATGAGCCCCACCTGCGAGGAAACGTGTATGTCCAGTATCAGTCGTAAGTACTTGCAATCTTACCAAGTTTTAGAATTAAACTCCAAAGTCCTGTAATGAACACTGTATAATACAAGTGATTCATTCCCATACTGTAATGGGAGCCTAAATCTGGTAAGTAACATCTTAAATGACTATATGATGATAATGCTATGTGTCATTTTTACTTTTTAAAGGGAGAAGGACTGTCAGGCAGCTCTTGCTCTATTCAGTGGACGATGGTATGCAGGCCGACAGCTTCATTGTGAATTTTGTCCTGTGACAAGGTGGAAAACTGCTATATGTGGTGAGTCACATAAACACTGGGAAAAGAGAATGTGTGTTATTGACAGAGTACTTATGGAAGTGAAAGAAAGGGAATTAGCCTGTAGCTTTCGGATCTGCCTCATGCTGTAGTTCATTTCTGTTTGGAAGACAAATATGCTAACTTGCTTCTGTAGATCTAGGAGAGGAAGGGAATATTTATACCACATCACCTAAGTGTCTGAATCGTTCTGGTGGATTTACCTTGGACTGGAAAAGAAAGTTTGGATCCTAGCTTTGGAAATAATAATCTTAAGGTGAAACTACAGGAAGTACTAATTTATCTCTTTAAAAAGCAACCGCAGTTTCTGAACCATCAACTGTTCTTAGCAGTAACTATCACACTTGACTTATCTATATTTACATTCTTAGATTAAGGTAGTAAAATTATTTATGAAAATTGTTTTAAGCCAACACCTTCATAGCTGTTAAAAAAAAAAAGTTAATTCCAAGAAAAGTACATACTGAAAATTAATCTTGTGTGAATTAAATTGATAGGTGGTCAGATGCATGTTTTTCTGTTTGAAGCAGCAAAATTCAGTTTATTGAGTTTCTTTCCATAATGAAGAAATACATACGCACATAATGAAGGAGGAGATTTAACAGGCCTGGTTCATAAAAGAGCAAACCCTAATCTGTTGCAGGCTTATTTGAAAGGCAGAAGTGTCCAAGAGGGAAGCACTGCAACTTTCTTCATGTATTCAAAAATCCAAACAATGAGTTTTGGGAGGCCAATAGAGACATACGTATTTCTCCTGAACGGACTAATCAGTTGTCTAAAAACTCTGAAAGGAGAAACAGAACAAGCCATCGTGATGACTATTATAGCCGGTCAAGGAGAAGGGGCAGCCCAAGCCCAGATCATTCTTACCGGAGAAATGGCGAATCTGAGAGAAAAAAGAACCGCCGCAAAAACAAGAGAAGGCGCCGATCTGGAAGATCAAGAAGTCGAGAAAGGAGGAGGTCTCGCAGCAGGGGGAGAAAGAGGAGAGGCCGCAGTCGCAGCAGAAGTCATAGTCGAACACGCAGTAGGAGCAGAAGTCGGAGTTCCTCTCGATCCAGGAGCAGGGGTAAAAAGAGATCGAGCAGCAGAGGAAAAAGTAGTGAAACTCCCAAAACAAAGTGAGAATTACTTTTAGAAATTGCTAATTGATCAAACATAGAGCTGACAAAGAAATCTTTCCAGTAGGGCACCAGATATATTTGAGTTTCAAATAAAGTGTTCTTGCACATTAAAATGTTTCTTCCTAATAAAGGAACCTAGTTTATTGTGTGCTAAGCTTCAGAAAATTAAAAGTTTAAGTCCTACATAAGGTGTGAATGTCAAGTACTCTAGCTACTCTGTCCCTCTGAACTGCTGCAACATCTGGATGCATACCGAGTACAAATAGAAAGAGAAGTAAAGCTTATTTGGTATATGCTTATTTCTGTGTTATGTGTGTGTTAAGTGTTTACTGTCCCTGTAAGGAGTTAGTACAGAACAGCCAGTGTGCTGTAAATTCACACCACAGCATACTGCAAATTGAAGTCCGTGTAGAAGACTGCCATTTATGTTTTCCATCTGTTTATGGGAAATCTCTTTCTAGACAAAGTAGATATAATCATGTTATGAGTTGGAGAAAAGCGATCTAAAAGACATCACTGTTTGATTGTACAATACTTGCCCAGCAGGAGTTCTATGGTCGTAAGTGTTGGATTTTTCTCTCTGACTGAGCTGCTGAGCTAATTGCCTGTAGGGATTGCAGTAGACTAAAACCAAGTAGGAAAAACAATCAATTTATTCAGTACCTTAATCCCCAAGTAAGAGTGGAGACCATGCACTTGTAATCCTTGAGTGAGGATAGAAAATACTTTGCATACCTCTTGGTTGCATACCATTTGTAGTTGAAAACAACCTGCCTAACCTGTGATGGAGTGGTGGAAAAGTGTCCATCTGGTAACCAAAGATGCATATGTAGTTGTGAGGGCTCAAGATGATGGTTGCAGAGTGGCTGAAGAAACCGAAGGTTTTATAGCTGAAACAATACTTCAGGTTTTTGGGAGAGGAAGACTTGACTTAAAGCCTTTTTAGGCTTATTTTATAGACAGTTTAAGGCACCCTACTGGCTAGCTTCCCTATGGTCAAGGTGGAGAGTAGGGTATGGTACGTAAAAATGAAGTTATCGGGACAAAACCTTTTTGAAATGACAGCTATATTAGCAAAGTACCTGCAATTAGCTAAATCCTTACAACTATTTCTTCACTTTTAAATGAAAGATTTGTGCTGTTAGATGGACTGTACTTCACGCTGCTTAACTTCAGGTATTTAACTTGGGCACCTAGGCATCTGCAGACGCTTGGAGAGAGCAGTTTGTGGCACTGAAGGTATGGGTGCCCCAAATGGTCTGCAGAGATACCTCCCTCTCTTTAGCCTATCCAAAGAACCCAGGCTCCTGCCTTCAGAGTGCAGTTCAGACTGCCTCAGTTAGAAGCCTGAAGTAGGCATGGAAGTCCTCCCAAATAGTTATTCCTTATGACTCCAACAACCTAACGTAAAGTCCCGTAGAAGATCTGGATATCTGATAGCATTCCTCACAGCAAGAACGTTTTTTCCCCAGGATAGTTAAGAGTGAACGAGCATTGCTTCTGGATATAATATATATATTTTTGCTTTTCTAAATGCATACTGCACCTAGCATGCTGATTATACATTTTCCTTCTTTCATGTGTAACTGTTGTCCAATATGGAGTAATACAACAAAAGTGCTATATATTGATGTTCAGTTCAAACCCAACTTTCACTATATATTGTCATAACTGTAGGCAGAATTGTAGCTTAGTTAATTTGATTAGATGTTTTAGTTATTAACAGATGTAGGAGTTGTAATTTAATAGCATAACTTTTGAAATAATAACTTTGTTCGAAAGGCATATTTCAAAGGATAGACAGCACTAAGTTTTAAATTACATTTGAGAAATTTGTGACCACTGGTTTCTCATAATGTATCTTTTTCTGACTAGACCTTACAGACAGATTTTCCCCGAGGTTTCTATTTTTTCATAGATGCTCACTTGTCTAGTTGGGTCACTTGTGCAGAACGTAGCGAACTCTGGCTCAGTTCCCTGGAGCAGAATTGAACTGGCATTTCCTACTTGCCGAGACGCACCACCAGCAGGCCGGGAACATCTTCCTTTCACTGGTGCTGCCTTGCGTCCCACAACTCGTGCTGCTGCTCTAGCCCTGCTGGTTCAGGCGCGCGGGTGGACGAGGTGACCCAACGCGTCTGTAGTGCGCTGTACAGCCCGTGTCCTGCGGCAGGGCGGTCGCCGAGCGTTGTCTGAGCGAAGTCAAGGGCTGAGCTCAAACAGAAGCCGTGGAATGGGTGGTGGGAACCTGTGACCAGTCGGGTGAAATAAGCAAAGCTGGCCTCAGTAGGATTAGAAACCAAGTGCCAACTAAGAGCCATGTGAGAATTTTACAGGTAATTAGGCTCCTTGTCCCCACAGTTTTGTAATGGGATCTGGGAAGCTGAGCTGCTGTATTTTTTTAAGAAAAAAGTTCTTATAATTAAAAAAAAAAGACTTGCTCAGAGATGCATGTAAAAATTTAAATATACTTTATTTCTGCTACTACAATGGCTGAAGCTTCAGCTTTTTTTTCTTGAGGTCTGGACCCAAACTTACTGGCTGTACCTGTGCAGTGTAGGACTGGTAGCTGCGATTATCATTCACTTTCACATGCAGTCTGTTTATTACACAGAAATTGAGTGCTGTAGATCTGACATTTAGTTTGCATTTGTTAGCATGAAACCCAGAATCCAACCAGTTTTCTAACTTCAGAGTTCCTGTATTTCAGTATTGTTTCCTGACTTCATAATCTTAAGTAGTGTTATATGCATGGTTTTGTGTTTCCTTATTAGCCGAGTGAGCTATTTATTCTGAAGAGACAAAGAGACTAGAAGTTTTTAAATGCTAAGCTTAATTCTTTTTTCCAAAGGGGAGAAGCCCCAGAAGAACACAGAAAGGATTTAAATTTGCAAGGAGTAACTTGTTCTCACTGCATGTTATTCTGCATATTCCACATAAAAGGACCTTAAAAACTGAATCAATATTGGCCAAGTTTTGTTTTGTCTTTTAATGACTGCTTAAAAGCAGTGGCTTTCAGAATTCTTTTTTTCAGTTGCAAATTCTGCAAGGGTCACGGAGGTGCTTTAGAGTGGTTGCGAAAGCAGAGCTGCCAGAAGTTGGCTGGGGTCTGCCGGAGAGCTCGGGGAGCTCACTTCACTCAGGGTGGGGAGCAGGCGCTCCCGTGGGAGGAGGAACGCGGCCCAGGTCGTGTTTTTCCAGTGGCAGAAAGGGAATAGCGACAGCATGGCGGCAGCTCCTGCAGGCGCAGGCGCTACGCTGCCCAGCAGCATTTGGGCATGGGGGACGCGGGCTTGCCCCCTCGCAGCAGCACAGCCTCGAGTTGCAGCAGGCGGCCGCTTCCCTGCGATTTCCCTTTCGCCCGTCCAGAGCAGCGAACCACCGTCCCCGCGGTGGAGGGGGAGCACACGGCCACATGCCGAGCGTGAGGCTTTCGGGTCTTAGGGTTGTGGGGGGAACGAGCACACGGGAAAAGACCTTCCCTCACTTACAGGGCAGATGGTCTGAAACGCAGCCTGAGCAACCGCTCAGCTTATGTCCTTTGAGGATAGCACGTCTTTCTCAGGTTCGGTTTTGCATTACCTTATTCAGTGTGTCAGAAATTGCCCTGAAGTTTACTAGTGAAATTCCTGTGCGCTAAGTAATGTTTTCTTTAAAAGAAATGCAAGAGCCTGCTTTAAGATGCTATTGCTTCCTGTCCTGGATCAGCACTTCTTACAAAACGTGAAAGTCTATGCTAGTTAATAACTTAAAAGCTTAATTTACTTTCTTACATCATCTAAAGAGTGCAGCTGATTTTGCTTTCAGTGTAAGTTTGTTGTAATTAAAATAAACCCCTATTACTCCACATATCCTTCTATTCAGCCCTGATGTTATCAGCTGAATTCAGTATCTATGAATGATTGAAAAAAAAGATACAACATTGACAAGTTACACTTTGGTGAACTAGAAGACAGAGGACAAAGCAAGCCATACAAGCGTACCCCATGGCACACAGTAACTTCACAAAGGCAGCCACAGGGTGACCACCAGCATGGCATTAACCTGAAAGAAAGAGCAGGTGGTTAGGAAGGCCTCTTAAAGACCAAGATTCAGCAATGAAGACACTCAAGCCAACAATCACTTGCCTAAACAATCCAGAAATTCTAATTGATTATTTAGCTTCCCTCCTCCCCTTCCCCTTAAGATAGGAAATTTAAGAAACAAAATTTTATTAGATATAAGAGGTGTCCTAAGATGGTAAGTTTTCCCTATGCTTCTGCTGATAACATCAAGCAGTTCAGTTCTTTTAGAAAGCTGGAAAACAGAGTAATCTGAGAAATTTTTGGCTGAGACTAGGATTGTGAACATTGCATTGACTTGCTCATAATTCCATGTAAGGAACTGAATATCCAGAACCCTCTCTCAACATGTGGTTTAATTTTCAAATGAAGTGGCACTACTGCATCAATTTAACATCCACTTTAATAAATTTCATGTTTAATGTGGTAAGCCTTCCAGAAACTTGCTAATTTATTGCTTTCTGTACAATTTAAATGGATGTAAATAACTAATCTTGGACACAGTATACTCACACATTTTTTAATAAAGTGCTCAAGAACAGGTTAAGCACTGTAATAAAATTTCTCTTTTTTTACGCTAGCACTGAGTAGCCTCTTCTTTCCTCTGCAAACACCAGAACTAATTACATATAAACACACAGCAATGGTGTAAAAACAGACATTTATTACAACTAAACCAATGTGACAGACAGAGGTCAAATAGTTTATTTGTCACAATCACAACAAAGCTTAATCCAGCCAAGCACATACAAGTGACAGTGTAAACTTTAAAAACATGTTTAGTACATACAAAATTGCTTCGGGTTTGACTTAAGGTAATTTTACCACTTAAATCTCACACAGGGGGTCAATTCTGCTACCACTTTATCCTCATCTATCCCTGCACATCATGCACTGGGGAGATAGAAACCACTCCTTCCATGTGCCCTAGGATAAAAGCGCTCTCTAGCAATCTGGCACGTTTAAATCCCAGAAAGGGCCTAAGCAGACAAAGTGTAACCCAGCAAGTTGCCCAGCCCCAGCCTGACAGAGCCACAGAAGCACACAGACCTGCCCCAGCCAGCCCTTCTGCTGCCAGGAGCATTTATACCAGGATCTGGATCAGGGGACTTGCAAGTGGCAATGCTGAGCCTTCCCTGGTGGGTTAAATTTAACCTAGATGGCATCAAGCCCACAGTCTAGCTCTCCAGATGGCTGTGTAAATGCTTACGCTAGCAGTGCGCAACTGCTTCCAGCAACAACGCCAAAGCTAAGTTTTGTGAAAACGTGGCACTACTTACTCAAGCGAACAAGCCAAAGCACTGACTCCTGGGGCAAGGTGACTGGGGAGGAGGGAAGGGAACAGCCTCCCCCCTCAGGGACCATGCAGGCACCCAGCAGAACCTGGCTGCTCCAAAGTGTGGCACTACCTCCTCAAAAGCACACACAAATTGAATTTCCTCAAGTGAAACGGGTTTAGCTTATAATTACTGTAAGTCTGCTAGAAGTGTCAAAATATTCCTTGATACCACTTTACATGATTCGCAGTGAATCTACGGTACAAATCTAATATTTAAAAGCTCTCACTGCAAATTAGTTGGTTCAACTGTACATCACGCAGGAGTTTCATAAGGGATGTGTCACATATTAAAGGTGTAAGTCAAGAAAAGCAGTTAAAGTGACATTGACACTTAGTGTGGGGTCTTTTTAAAGGTACCTATACACCCATTAAAGCATAACTACAAGACACCAATAAATAAAAATTAATTTGTAGAGTTTGAAAGAAAATAATAAAAAGTCCCTTTTGTAAAGCTCCTTCTTTCCTATCTTCAGAAGTACCCAATTTTCATTATGCACCTCTATGCAGTCAGAAAGCCTACCTCCTTTCTTATGTCTATGTTCAGAGCAAACCAATATCAAACCTGAAAATAGTTTCCTTGTTTGAATTTTTTTCTTTTTTTTTTTTTTAAAACTACATGCATTCCCTTTTTAGTATAGTAACTTGCACAGTTTTTCTCAAGGTAGCTACACTTAAATACACCTTCATTTCTAATAAGTTTATCAGTTTGCAGTTTTCTTGCAAAAAGCAGTATCACCTTAACAGTTCTTACCAGTTTGATATGCAGATCCTAACAGGATTCTTTGGTATAATGACAAATTCAGTAGTAAACAGGTATTTCCAATCTTTATGCATCAACTGAAATAAGCAGAATTATCACAAGTGGTGACTAAAATGTAGATGAACGAAAGTCTTTGGTTGCATAAACACAATTTCTACACCATAACATTTGGAGTTGTCCATGTAGTTTCTTTTCATTTAGATATGCTATGTCATCATGATACATTTATTTCCTGAAGTCAAGTTTGCTTATAAAAAACAGTACACTTAAAGTCAAATGCAATTTTCCTATAAATGCAGTGAAGGGAGACACTGAGTCAATTTAAATCTAATTCCCTTTCATTTATGATTTTTGGACTTTAGTTTCTTGTTCCCTTTTCAAAGGAGCATTCTTCTTGTAGGCCTGAATGAAGCAGCTTAGCAAAACAGTAATACTGACAAACAGCATCTTACACCATTAGCTAAACATTACAATGAAGGCAGTGAACATTTACAGTATGAAACACTGAGATGTCATCAGCTGAAGCGAAGATTTATGTCAATCCAATTTCTTCAAGTACACTACGTGGGGTCTCTGCTTCCTATGGAGGGAAAATTTGAGACAGTGGTAAATGGACCCTGTGCTTCTATTGAACAGTACCATACATGCATTAGTATGAAAGATGCTTAATTAAAAAAGAAAAGCTGAAAGACATGAAAATATTAAAGTACTGCAGTTTGCAAACATGGTATTAGCTGCACTTTTCAAAGAGCTGTTAATTAGCTTGTCATGGTTCACAGGAATAGCTGGCAGATTTTATTACCTTTAAGCGTAATAAAAATAAAGCAATTCAGATGTACCAGCAGGGAACAAATCACAACCCAGTAACAGAGATATGAATTGGGGAGGGATGGGGAAGCATCTTGCAATGGAGTCAGTGATTTTTGTGGTGAACTGTATCATGGATCTCAAAAATCTGTTAGGGAAGAATGAATAAATCAATGAATGAAATGACTGATGCAACTAAGATACAGTATCCCTTAAGCTCTTCATAAAGGGCCTAGATTTTTTTTACACCAGTCCCATGCTTAGTTCATAAAACCAGGCCAAGGTATCTTGGTACACCTGGTGTCAATAAATTGACCCCTAGAGAAGTGGAGGAATTGCCAGGATTGGAATTGTATTATTCCACACCAGGCAGAAAGTTTTAGGTTAATTCTAATCTTAAAAAGCCTTGTTTAGATTCAGAGCAAGTTGTTTAATACAAAATTCCAAAGGGTTATCATCAGTTTTGTATTTGTTATTCCTATAGCATCTGAAAAGAAACAGTAGTTTAATTAGAAACATTAGGCTGTCCTTTTCCATAATTATTAACAATATCACAGTAAATGAAAAGGGATACTGTGTCCTTAAGGAAACAAACAGCGTTAGTATCCAGAGTACAAATAAACTTACTTTAGCATCCTAAAACAAGACATGTCATGAAGCAGAAAAAAAGGCAGATAATAGTTAAGGCAGCAAACAAGTTATTTTTCAACTGCTTTCTAAATATTTATTAGAAAAAAACTGTCAGTAAAATACATAATTAAATGCCTTGAATCTTGCAAGTAACACCACAGCATTGTCTCTATCAACCCTGACTACGTAGCACAAAATGACCAAGCTTACAATCCTCATTCAGTTCATGTATCAGGTGATTTAGTACTGAAGGAACAAAATATGATATTTTAAAGGCAACTTCATTTGAAAGTCAGTCAGTGCTTGCTTGGAACAGGCCACCTCTGAGCACTTCAAGATGGCTTCCAAAATCCAGCAGCAAGTAAGAAATTGCAAGAAAAAGGCAAGTTAAAACTGGAAACAAGATATTCAGTGTATTTTATTTTTATATATACACACACACATATTTTATAGTGAGTTTTTTTCTCACTGATAGGATATTTAAATATTCTTAGAACTGCAGTGACCTTGATAAGGCCAGAGAGGATGGCAGGATTAAAGATTTGTATTTTAACACAAATCCCCCAAAAGGAGACACTGATTGAAGAAAAGGCTATGTGGCATTTTTAATACAACCTGTTGTATTTATATTCCAAATTACTTTGCTGCATTTGTTTAAGAGGAGATGTGCCTCCCTCATCCACCAACTTAAAGCATTTTACTCAAAAAAATTAATAATCCTACATTCTTAACTATAGCAACAGGACTCAGTATTCTAACAGAATATAAATTCTCAAGCATTTCAGGGTCTTGAAAATATTTGTAATAAAACAATTTTTCACAGTTTTAAATTGATTCGACAGCAGCAGACACAGTTACTCAGTGGTGAAACAGGATATTTACTAAATTACCTGAAAAAAAGTTGCTCAATAGCTATGAAGAAATACAGCGCACTGCTGCTACTATCTTCATAGCAGTTTAGTATTATTGTCTCCACTGCCAATTCAAAGTTGTAGGCTATTTTCAGTAGACATATACTTAAATAAAGATTAAATTTCTTCAAGTAAATTAAATTCATTGTTAGCCAATGACCTTGAAGCAATGTATTTCAGGGACATTGTCTTGACAGGCTACTTGTCCACAGATACCTCACCAGTAAAACTCAGAAAGATTTTAAGTTTTTAATACTACAGCAGTAACCTTCAGGCAGACATGCCTTCTTATATGCACATCTACAATATAATCTCAAAAGGAACACCTAAAGGCTAATGTCTTTTGCTAGAGGAATAATTTTATCAATTATGACTTTTAAGGAAAAAAGAATGAATTACACTATGTTTTGTTCACATTGTTTGTTTTAGGAAGTGTCAAACATTTCATCCAATTGTTATGGAAAACATTCTGCAGTATTATACACTACCTGCAGCTCAGAATCACCCAAGGCAAACAATGCAAATTTGAAATATATCACAACACAGATGAGGAAAAAAAGTCATTCACATGAGACAAAAGTGCATGCAATACTTTTATTTCAAACATGCCAGGAAAGCTAATTCATTACCTAGTCATTTAGAAGCAAGCAGCTGTATACAGATAACAAGAAAAACAGCATCTCATTACAGCTCAATGCACAGCATTTTAAGCCAACAGGCATGAAATAATGCAGGCTAAAGCAGCATTAACCAGACAGTCAAACACATTGTTAATGTCTTACACAAAAAAAGGCAAACTTGGAAATGGAAAATCTCTCTTATGATCTTGTTTTCTAAGATTTCAGAATGCTGCAAATCCAATCCAAATCTTTTGTCTAATCCCCTAAATCTCCCATTTCTATGTCAGTTTAACATTTGACAGGTAGTGCATTACCACATATAGTACATGGAACTAGCTGTTTGTGGTTAATCTCAGTAACCACCTCCTTGCTAACTACATGATTTATGCCTACACCAGAGCCATTTTAAAAAACGGCATTGGTTTTAGGTTACAAATTATTCTCTTCTACTAGACAAACAGAGGATGTAATACATGCCCTCTCACTCTGACCACACTTTTTAATTAAAAGGTACTTATCATATTCATCCTCATGGCAGCTCTCTGACATACAAGGTAGTCTGCACTTAAAACTGGAAATGCCAATTGAAGGACACATATTTCAAGTATGCTGTTAATGGACTTAAAAATCTTTCCAACCCTAACCATTTGTAAAGCAATGAACTTGTTCTCTCCTTCAGTAGCAGCAATAGTTTAACTCCTCACAAGAGTGTTTTGAACATTTAAATACAAATGTTGTAACTTCAGATTTACTTCAGTTGTTCTCTTTGTCCTAATCAATTCTGCCTTCCTCCTCTTTATAAGGTAAGCCACACTACCATGCCAGTCTCAGAAAAGGATACTGGTATGTGCATCTTTAAGATGCAAGGTCTGTGTAGAATTGTGTGTAACATCATTTAATACTTGTGTGTATCCACATTTCACATACTACTACTCCTTCACTAGTTTCTCTGTAAATATTAACTTCATCTACAGGTTTTAAGTGTATGTTTAAATACCACCACAACTTATTTGAAAGATAAGCACAGGTCAAGTAATGTTACAGTATAGTTATTGCAGTATATAGATGTTTAGCTCAGAAAATTCCACAGAATTTTTAAGCATAAGACTTCAAGCTTAGACACAATAAAAAAGTTAAACCATATGCCAACAAGCACAAGTTTTGTTGAAATGAGACATGTGAAGAGACAACACTGTAAAACAGAGGGGGGGGGGGGGGAAAGTACAACAGCAGGGAATGGTTGTGGTATTCTATTAGATTCAAGATGACTGGATTCACCAAGCTGATGATAATGTTCTGTCATGAGTAAGTCACAGGTCTATCTCCTCTGAAATTCTGCATGCATGATGAATGAAGCCATTTAGTACACTGGGACATTAAAGTATTCATGACGTGGCTACAAAAGAAACGTACATATTCTTATACATAATAGAAAGGTGGACAGATATGCAAGAAAACAAAGATTATCTCACTATTGTATCTCTGACATGAAAAGGACATTTGATACAGAAATACAATATTCTTATTTTTGACTACTGTAGACCTTGGGGGGGGGAGGTGTGCAAGAAGAACCATCATTTTACCTCCCCCCCTTACTTGCATGCTGGCTCCAACAACACACAGGACAACCTCACATCATGATTACTGTATTATGTAAGCTCGGAGTTTCTTCTCAGCCAAAAATTGTTTGAAGCTGAGATACTATTCCAGAGATGGACCACCCTATATTTGCTCCATTTTAGCCTCTTCAGTAGACATTGACTATTGGCTACTGTCAGAGAGAGGGCACTGGGCTAAGTGAACTTTTGGCATCACCTACCATATCTGCTCTGATAAGCACACACTGGTAACAGACCTCTAGAACATGGTGGTGAGCAGCACCATGCCAGGGCTGTACAGCAGCAGCATTACTTGCGACAAAAATTATCTATCAGAGTGCCTGTTTAAAAAAATGGTAGGTATCTGAGACACCTCTCACAGCAGGCAAAGTTTTCTTTGCTTTTGGATTATGCCGCTGAACTCAATACTCTCTTATATTACTAGCATGAACGTTAGTATACAAGCCATTGAAAGATGAGTTAGAAAGCAAGCAATACTCAGTTTTTTGTATTAAAATCAGTGCCATGAAGACAGATGTGGACATTTTTAATGGAGTAATACCAATTCAGGAGTATCAGCCTCATATATGCCCGTTCCACATCTTCTGGGAGGGGGCAAAAAAACCCAAAACAAAAAACCCACGCACAAAACACAACTCTCTGCATATTGGTTACCATCTTTTGTGATGTACCAATTAAAACCTTCAATCTATTTTAGTATCCTACCCCCAAAAATCCTACAACACAACTGAGACTTCTAAACCTAACAATTTCCTCTGTGCCATCTCAGTTTATTCACACATTCAAGCTTGTACATTTTTAAATTCTAATCTCCAATTACAAAAAAGCACAACAAAAATATCCTAGAAGCTTTACAGGATTATACTGCTTTTCACTACCAGTACTCTGAATGTTATTCTGTAGTAAAAATTATTCTGAACAAGCCAACTACAAATCCAGTAGTTATCAAACTAATAGCAGCTATAGCTCAGTGGCAGGTGCAAATAAGTTGTATGAAGTCTGCTGTGATTTTTGGTAGAATTCAAAAGAATTTGGTATACAATAGAGAATTACAAATGTGAATTTTAACTCTTAAAATCTCTCTTACTGCTTAACTCAAATGCCAGCCTACATTAAAAAAAAATGCTGAGGCATATTTCTAACTGGAAAAGGAATTGCATGATGGTGGTATACATACTAACCCCAAGGAGTAGAAGCTTTGACTAAAAAGAAAATACTAACTCTAGAACTTCTGGAGCCTCCACAGACAAAAAATTCCCAGAGGAGTACTTATGGAAAACTTCTGCTTTACTTAACACTGCTGGCATGATACAGATTCATGAAGACAACTGAAAAACAGGCATATTTTGTTACAATCTCAAATGCCCAAGTTTTACAGTTCTGTATTCTCAGTTTTTACCTGGACATGTATGTACACATGTGACTGATTCTCCTTCATCTTGAAAAACAAAGTCATGTCTTCCAGTGTTTCACCCTTGGAAACCTGGAGCCATCAAAGTTGGTGTCTTCACTGAAATGCCTGTCAAATCTCATAACAGATTTCTCAATTTTAGAACGGCTCTCTGGATGGAAAGGAGAGTGAGAGCAGCTCATTTTCTAGCACTCTTATGAGGTCAATTACCATTGACTGTTGCTGTGTTCAAAGATTATCCCAGGCTGCACACATTCTTTTGCACACTCTTTGGCCTGGAAGCGCTGACCATGTTCCCTTTTACAAAACTGGTATCAACAAGCAAGGACATGGAAGTGTTAATTTCATTTTTATCCACTTGTTACCTGTCAGTACTTTCCAAACTTCTACTCTCCCACACACTCCCAGGGTATTCCCCACCTTGTTCATATTTTCAATGGTTTATAACTTGAGGAATTAACTGTCTTTGATGTGAAAATCCTGGTACACAAAATCAGATGATTGACTCAAATTACTGTTATGGGATTAGTGTCTCATCTTGACAGAAATTTATTATCTACTGATAAAGCAAGATAGATTGCCAGATAACAATAGGAAGAAAGCGGTTATTTTGCTCCTGGCAGCTTTTTAGCTTACAGAACATGTAAACACCCCCTGCAACTAGACTAGCAATAAACTGACATTGCAGAGGTAAATCTAAAAGATTAAATGGAACACAACAGTAGCTGAGATATGAAGAGATAACAGCAATATTGTGAGATGGGAAACACTGCAGTTTCACTGAAACCTCTGTACCTCACTGAGGACATCCAAGACCATCACATACAGAGGGTCTGGCACTGTGAGCAGCCTGACAAACAACAGAAAGGAAAATAAAGTTTTGACAAATTATTTGTCATCACAGAACTACAGTATCTCAAAGCTCCAACTATGATTTGTTAAATTTTTCACTGCATTCCCTGCAACATTGTCTCCAGAGCAGTTAGCCTGCTGGTCTGAATACCAGAAAAGACAATTTGGGGGAGAGGACAGATATCAACTTCCACAATCAGTATCTAGACTACCTTGCCTTCCTTCTGTGGGACTCTGCAGACCTCAGACAACACTTGAGCCTGTGAAGCATGTCCTTAAGATAGCTAGCTACCTGGATCTAATGAGTTTATAAATGAGTTGACAGAGCAGCTAGGGAAAGAGGCAATGGTATCCTTACAGCACAATACAATGGCAAACTAACATGAAATACTACCTCTGAAAAATCATTACTTATTTAAAAATTTGCATGTAGATTGTTTATCTGACTTTAACACATAGATCTTAGATCCTAGTTTTGCCAAAGCAGTAATAGCTGTACAATACAAGCTGCACACTGCAATTCCACAATGTTTTAGAATCCATCTTTCTCAAACTGACATCTGTGTTTACAACTCATTTTAAAAAGCTAATAATACTCTTAAATTGTCAGCCTGTGTCATCAGATTTGTAAATTAGAAAAATGGTAGAGCTGATTTGAGTCAACAGAACTATTTAGCTAGCCCAACCCAACTGACATTTTTCTCAGTCAACTCTGTCATGACCCAACCTAATTAAAAGTCATAATCAAACTAAAGTTACAAGGGACTTCATTTAATCCAGTTCCCCAAACAGCATACCTGTAACATTCCTGAGAGATATTTCATCTGTTAAAGGCATCCAATGATGGAAACTTTTTAATGCCCCCCCCAGGCTATCTACTTCAATGCTTCATTATCATCACCACTAGAAAATTTGCGTAACATCTACTTTAAAATTTTCTTGCTCCAACTTAAGCTATTTCATGTCTGTAGTGGACAAGAAAACAGTCTCTTTCTTCAGGCAAGAGAGAAACAAGAAATGATTTATGCCTACACCAAACTGACTCAAGTTCAGTGTTCTGCAGTGCTGCCATTTACTGACATCACACAGCAGTGACATAGACTTCATGAATACTTGGCACACCTTCTTTTTCAGGGAAAGTTTGCTTACCTTTTTGTTTTAACTTCTTTCCCATCAAAACCAGCACAAAACCTATGAAGGCAAGCCATGTTAAACTGCAGACAAAAATTACAACTGCTACCTTTTGATAAACACTTGGCTTTTTTTTGCCCAGCATCTAAACAAACCCTAAGCTACAACAGACAAGAGGCAGGACCATGGAGCACACGGCAGTTTGGGAACAATTATACAGAAAAAGGCTATGGGGAAAAGAGAAGGAATGAGAGTTTGTTTAGAAACATGAAGTTCTTACAGCAGGAAGATATTAACATTTAACAAGCTCTTATTTAGCAATGCTTCAGAAGGAATTACTTTTACACCCTACTTCCAAATCTTTATTAGGAAGTATTTCCAATGAAAGGCTGGGTATTGGGTCTGGCTGAGATGCAGTTAATTCTCCCCATAGCAGCCCTCGTAGTGCTGTGCTCTGCATTAGTAGCCAGAAAGGTGTTGATAACACGCCAGTGTTTTGGCTACTGCTGAGCAGCACTGGCACAGCATCAAGGCTGTCTCTCCAACATTTTCACCCCCTTCAACGGCAGGCTGGGGCTGGGCAAGATCTTGGGAAGGGACATAGCCAGGACAGCTGACCTAAACCAACCAAACAGATATTGCATACCATATGACATCAGCTCAGCTATAAAAGCTAAGTAAAGGGAGACGGAAGGGGGGCATTTTCATCTTCCAGAGCAACCACTACATGTACTGAAGCCCTGCTTACCAGAAAATAGCTAGACATCATCTGCTGATGGGAAGTAGAGAATAACATCATTTGTTTTCCTTTGCTTTCATGTGCATGACCTGTGCTTTCACTTTATTAAACTGTCCTTATCTTGACCCACAAGCCTTTTGTTATGTTTTCTCTCCCCTATCCAGCTCCCAGCCAGGGTCAACCTACCACAGGTTGCTTTAGGAGATTGCTGCTGTTCACTTGCCTTTTCAGGGATTTCAAAATAGTAGAGTATCTGTTTCTCAATCTTTGGTTAGCTAACTATTCAGAAACTCCAATTACACAGTTATTGGGAAAATTCTACTTTACTTTCAAAGGAGAGCAAAGGGTTTTCTCACAGAGCCTAGAAACACCCATGAGGTCTTGAACACATTCAAAGACAAATATTAACTATGACGCTGTTCAAAACCAAAGAACAATCCTACATCAATGCCAACTACAAGTCAAGACCTTGTCTGCAGCGTCCTATACAGAGAGGATAAAAAAAGAAATCTTCAAGATTGGTGCAAATTAGTCAACACAATACTCAACTAGAGTCTGAAACAGCAACAGTCGTCATGCAAGCATTGTTCAGCAAAACATCCTAGCATTTGCACACACTTCAGGTCTAAAACATCACCTCAACA